GGTTAGGGTTCGTAACTTTCTATTTTGGGTTAGGGTTTGTAACTTCTTATTTTGGGTTAGGGCTCGTAACTTTCTATTTTGGGTAAGGGTTTGTAACTTTTTATTTTGGGTTAGGGTTCGTAAATTTCTATTTTGCAGATTTATAAACATCATGGATTTGTCATGATTTATTGTAGTTTGTTTCATCTTGTAAAATATTCAAGGCAAATGTAACAGATAGGTAAATGTCGTGACATAACATGCATGATAACATGAAATCCTACATTATTGTGTAAAAGACCCTGTTGAAATAAGCATTTGTTGATATTTTCTATCCTCAGTTCTTGGGCATTCAGTATTATCCAGGCTATGTCATTGCCCCTCGACTTGCTATCACTTCCCACTTCCTGTCACGGATGACTGGCTGCATCATGGTGACCCCTGGGTCGCCTGACAATCCAAATGACCGCTTCAAAACTAACATTGGTCTAAACCTAAAGTTTACCAAGCGGAATGAGGAGGTCCCTGGGTACACAAAGAGAACAGATGAAGGATGGACATACTCCGACAAAGCCATGGAGGTGGTCGGACAATACCTTGCTGAGTAAGTGCCTTAGGGGCTCAAGGGTTCAAACACTTGTTCCTTTAATGGTAATATTTCTCAAAGTACTGTAAAAAATATACCTAAAATTTACAAAAAACCGATTTTCTTGGTTTTAGCCATATAACCAGGATCCTATGTACCTATGAAAATGTCCACCAGTCAAGGTCAATGTTACTAAGAGATATACTGTCCTACCTGTATTGTGTGGTGACCCTTTCTGACTTGTCGGTGTTCATTTTGATTGCTAGTGGTACTTGGTGGATATCCTATATTTCCATAAAGCCATATTGCCCCAATACCAAACATGGCCACCCTTGATTGGTTGATTGGCTCGGACATACACAACTGTAGCTTTTGATTCATCGTATAATTTTCTCCATACCTTGTTGTAAATTGTTCTTATGGAATAGACACATTTTGATTTAGAACATACAATCCAGATCCCATAACCCAAGATGGCCACCATGACCTCAGATTGTCTGACATCTTTTTAACAATAAGCTCTTTTCTGTCGGCCTGATTTTCTTCATGCTAACTGGTAAATAGTACTTGTCCAATTCCAATTACGTGACTTTTGTATGTGTTCCCTTATTACCCATATTTCAAACTCCGACAGAATCACTGTGGCTTCTGTTTGACAATTTAAAGGATAAATACCATGAGTCATATTGCAGGGCAATTCCTTTTCTGTAATTGTTCTAGTTTTCATATATTTTTTCCAGATTTCCAGAAATATGGTCCTATATCAGTTCTAAAGATGGAGGCAGGGGAGATAACTTCTATGAGACAGACCTTTTCAAGGAGGGCAGGTAAAGTTCCATGTTGAATATGGAATCTACATGTATTTGGCTGTAATCCAGCTAATTAAATTGTACAATGTTGTTTACCCTTTGAATTAGGCTACATTTATAGTCATATGAAATCTTATTATCTTAGAAAAATAACAGTCATGTGTAGAGGCAGAGTCAAATTTATTATTGTGGCTTAATGTTAGTACTAGTCTATGTTACCAGACATTCTATAAAACCATTCACTTCAACTGATTGGGATAAATCAGCTCTGATGCTCAATGCATAAAACATAAAAAAACATCAGTTTTAAAAACTGAATACTATTGAAGAAGCTTGTTTAGAGAGAAAAGTTCTGTCAGATAGGATTACCTGGTACTGTGCTGTGGTAGATGATGATTGTTGTTTAACCTCCTGTTTAATCGTTATCATACATGTTTATACCTGTAGTCCATACAGCTTGAAGAAGATGACAGATTTTGTAAAGGGACTGCCTTGTAATAGCGTGAAGACAATGAAAGCTGGGGCCGAAATACTAGACCAGGGTGTCATCAACGCCATTGAGCAGGAAGTGCAAAAGATCATTGTAAGTTCTAAGTTGTATTATTTCATTGTGGGGAACTTTCTGTCGGCCATCGAATAGCCTTGGCAGCAGTTCAACTATTGACCTATGAAAAGCCCTGAACCATGGCGGAAGGTGAGTGCTATTTTCACCGGACCACCCTTAACTATAAATATGTCACAGTCAGCGCCACCGAACCAACCTTAACTATAAATATGTCACAGTCAGCGCCACCGGACCACCCTTAACCATAAATATGTCACAGTCAGCGCCACCGGACCCCCCTTAACTACAAATATGTCACAGTCAGCTACCGGACCACCCTTAACTATAAATAT